CTGAGTGGTATGGCACTCCCAGAGGAGATGCTGTAATTCATGTGAGACTTACACTGGTACCAGACTGGCTACTAGGACTGCCAAAACCTCACATACCACTGTGATACACAAGTGTCATCAAGTATAATTATGAGTACAGAAACCTGAAAATTCAGCTTACAGTTTCCATTCAAGTTATTGCAAACTTGCAGCACCTGAAGAAGAAAGGCTGGGGGGAAGAAGGAATCCTGGGACAGAATGACAAATGCCTTTCTCAGGTATACACAGTGTGATAGAGCACAGCAGTCTTATTAAAAGTCTATCGCTACAGCAAAGATTAATCCTTTTCATCTGGAGAAGAGGTCAAAGGAAGACAACAGAACATGAACTAGATGAATCTTGTTACTTGTTCTATTTACAACATCTGTGTCCAAACTACGTTAGTATTGGCATGTATTTTCTTTCATCAGTGGCAAATGTCTTTGTCTTGAAGAGGCTGAATAAAAACATCCAGTTCAAACTACTTTATTGCTTAGGCTATTTTTTCTTATCAGCCTTCTCTTTCAGGCTTTCAAGTTCTGGTGACTCATCATTTGAGCCACCATCACAATCACACCCAATCTTAACATCTGTGAAATGTATTCTTTTGAGGAGAACTGGGGGAAAGCACGATGTACCACACCCTAAGATTTCTATCATAGAGACTAGTGAAAAAAACACAAAACACTTCACACATAGGTGTAAAAGAAGATAGGTAACAAAACCAAACTCTGGAAGACACAAGCATTTCTAAAGCTGATGAACGTTTCTTCACATTGCTCTTTATTGTCAATAACATCAAAGGCTGGGGGCTCTTTCACCTATTGTTTTTATGCTCTTTCTTTCTTCATTGTAAATCTGTCACATATGTCATTATACATCCTATCTCTTATTGCAGCACACCCTATCTCTTATTGTCATTATATGATTTTTGTTTTGGCTTTCTCCAAGCTGCTCTTACTGAACAATGTTTCCTTATGCAGCAAGGAAGAGAACGTTGCTTCCTTCTACTATTTTTATCCATGTTTGTGATGTATGCTCTACCAATTTGTAGGCAAAGGGTTGTCATTATACATTAGATTTTACTTTTGGGCCACAATTATGCATTTCACAAAATTTAATCTCTCAGAATCTAATTTTTACACAGGCCTTCAATTCTCACACTTTGGGGTTTTTTTCAGGTACATCGATAGTAAATAAATTCTAGGTCTAGAGTTTGGTGGTTTGGGGCTATCTTGTCCGTGCATTGGGTATGCTCCTCCTGTGTACTTGTAACTCCTGGACCTTTTATCAAGCAGGCTGGGAAAATCACACACCAAATTTCTTCCCAGTGAAAACTAGGTCACACAAAGGGTGAACAGTCTGTTAGATGACAAAGTATATGCCAGTAAGGCAATAAAGTAGCTTGAGAGAGTTAAAAATTCACTGTAGTACAGAATAAATTAAAGAACTTAGGAAAAGTGAAGGAGAAACCAAACATGCAGGAACCAAAATCTAAAACCTGAGAAGTAAGAACAGGAGGACACTATAAGTTAAGCTACAAATAAAATGAAACTTTTGATAAAGCCAAAGAAGTTTGCTTAGTCATTAACAGAGTTAAATACCTGCCTATGACCATGATTGCCTCTTACTCACAAAACCCCCTTCTTCAAAGGGCATGCAGGGTGAAGGAAGTGTGCACTCCCTTAAACGGAGATCAGAGAATGCAAAGCCAAGGACTTCAGCTTTAGGTTGGTACATATGTGGGAAATGTCAATCTTTTATTGTTCAAAGTGTATAAAAATGATCACCTGGAGTTTTGAAGGTGTGCTAGCTTTGCAGATTCGTGACCTAGCACCTATCTTTGCCCAGATATAAAAGAAAAAAATATCTCAACTGCATGTGTGAATTGGCTTCTTGCATATCAGGTGAAAGAATCCATGCTCAGGACAATGCCAGCCCCTAGAAACCAGAAAGTACTTTCAAGAGTCAAAGGTTAGATATAGTCTGTAATTGTCCATACCTTATATTAGTGTCCCTGCAAGCTATGTCCAGATGGCTCTTTTGCTTCCATCTATTTGGTTTGCATTCCATTCAAAAAGTCTGGTATCAGGATAGGTTGTGTTGTATGGGTAGCATCCTACTGGCACAACCCTGTAGACAGTTCTGGAGAGCTGAGCATCACTTGGAGGTTTGTGCAGTTTTGCATATTGGCAAAACTGTGTTTCTAAAAATGCTGCCCTCCTCTCTCTGAGTGCTGGGGACCCACTTTCCCAGCAACAGTCATTCCAGACTTCAAACATTCAAACCAACATTGCTCTCGCTGTCACCAGACGTACAAAACATCTTGGCAGTGACACAAACTTTGACAATCTTTTTTTAAATCCTCCTATTCAATTTTTTCAATAAACTACAGCTCCTAGTAGGGAAGTGTCACCAAAATATGGGTACAAAGCATATTGCACCCTTTTGTTCTGGCCTGGTTGCTATAGATATTCTAAATACACCAGAATTTTCCCTCTGTTAGCTTAATTTTTTTATTACTTTATTAAAGAGTGTTGCTTCTGAGGCCCCAGTGACACACTGGCATCAGCAGTTGAAAACAGCAGCAAAATTAAATTTCAAAATGAGCAGTATCTGCCTGTTGTGCTGTTTAACCTGGTCAGTGTCGTGTTATTCTCCTGGCACTTTCCTTGTTTCTAATTAACTACAACAAGATACCATGTAAATTTGTTCCTATATTCTTTTATTTCTCCCTCCTGTAATTTTCAGTGGAAGGACAGATGTTTATTTTGGAGCTTCATAACTGTGTCTCTTATCATGCAGGGCCATGTCGCAGTGCAAAGCTGCAATGAAGAATCAAGGATTATCTTGCTTGGGCACATAACAACAGCATAATGTTTAAGTTTAGTTTATTTGTGCTCCTACAGCACAAAATAGAAGATTGAAATCAGATTTAAAAAAAAAAAAAGAGGAGTGGGAAGTGGTTATAGAATTTTGCTTATCCTGTGGTGGATAGATAAGAAGAGTATGCAGGGGAAAGAAGGAGATGTGGATCATAGGCTAAACAAAAGGAATGGGCACGATGAAGCAGGGAGAATGGCAGGGTGAAGCAGAAGCACATTTCGATACTGAACTTTGAGGGCTTAATTTCCTTACGCATAAAACTTGGGACAACAGGCACACTGCTTATCTGGGATCAGTCTATATGGTGCAAGGAGATCTATAATTTGATGCAGAGAATCTATGGAGAATCCTGGTTTTATCCCAATGTTAATTTAGTGACATCTTTTATTGCCACTCTGTCTCTGTTTATAACACACACAAACCTCTTTCTCCAAATCTCACTAATTTAAAATCTGTGGCCCCAGACTTTTTCCAAAGCTATTGTATGTTCCTCTTCTGAAGTTTGATGATGGATAAAAGCTGGGCCAGCTGCGAAATCTTCTGGACTTCTGTGTTTCCTTGGTTTGCAGTGTGGTATTGCAAGTGCCCATTTGTCTTTTTCTCATCTCCACTCTGAGATCAGAGCCAATGCCCTTTTGCTTACAGAAGAGAACAAGTATACACAGATTTCCAGACACTGATTTTATTAATTACACTGCATTAACATGAAAACATGAAGAAATTTAATTCCAACAAGAGAAGGATTTACAGTTAAACACAGCAGGAGAAATATCACTGTTACAGTCGGATTTGTATTGCACTGAACTAATTTATGCTTTAAAATGAAAAAGGTGCTTTCACATTGTTTCAGTAAAGAAAGCAGGAAAGAAAGAAAAACTACTATTTTTACACCAGAAAGTTTACTGTGAGGATAGTTTGGTCTTTGTGTAGTCTATCTGTGGCTATTAACCTCACAAGGATACAATAGCTGATGAGATAAAAGCTAACAAACAGAAGCAGTGCCCAGGCATTTTAAGGCAATAGCAAGAAGAGTATTTGCACCACCTAGATAAAGGCATCTGATAGCCAAATTAAGAGGCTGACATTTTCAGGTTCCTTCCACAGTTGGACAGTTAATCTTCCCCTGAGACTAAATCCCATGACTGCTTCTGACTCAGGCACTTCTTATTCTCTACTGACCACTGAGGGACCTTGAAGAGATTTGCTGTTAATTCAGGCATCTACATGACATGCCTGACCTTAAGTAGCATGGAATTCCCTCTGGTGTCCTTGCTGGAGGTTAGTTGAACCTGCCCCTCCAGATTTCCATGAGCAAGTCCTTGCACACATGAGCTGTGCCCTTCCAAAGAAAAGGGGAAAAACACCAGAAGGCCATCTCACTTGCGTAAGGAGCGCTCACCTGCACTTCTTTACAATTTGAAGTAGGAAATTGTCTACTATGCTCCTTCTTCCTCTTCTTTGCTGACCCCATGTCCATAGAATTCTTTTCTTTTACAGGGAAACTCTCAATGGTGGAATAAATATATGGCTGTTGTACACCAGAAGGCCAAGGGTCTGGAGTCTTCCATCAGCATGCAGGTCTCATTGAGGCACCAGTTGGCAAGAGGCACTCTTCTCCTGGGAAGGCAGGAAGATATGCCTTGTCTGGAAGTGGCTGATTTTGCAGTTTCAAGGCCACTGTCTTCCTAGAAGTGTATCCCAAAAGTCAAAGTTGCTGTGCATGTGAAGAGCATGTTTTTTCCCATGCAGGAGCCTAACCTGACGCACCAGAGTCATGTGTTGCTGTGTCAACTCTTCTTCTGCACATGATTTACCTGTCCAGAACTAGGGAGGCCTGCTCTCAGTACTGTGCTCACATCCTTCAGAGGGTCCTGATATTTTGCTCATACAGAAACTTGCATTGCACATACCAAGGTAATTTTCATTCAGGTCTTGCAGATCTTAGCTGAAGGGCCCTTATTGGTTTAGTTTAGTTTAGTTTTATTTTTTTCTTGGAGGGATATGACTTGTCAGAAGCAAGCTCACACTTTTTAGGAGTGCATCATTGTCTTGTTGTACAGTCAGTAAACTTGCTTGAAAAATTGCACCCACAAAAATCACAATGTTGCTGATTAAAACCACTCTTTGGAAAAAAAGCAACTGAATGGTGATATGGCAGACATAAAATTAAAAAGCAAAAACCAAAATGCTATAACATAGTAATAGCTGTTAAAGGATTATGTTTAAAAATGACCGCACTATTGGCAGAACAAAAAAATTCTTGAGTTAAATGGTGCCAGGAGGATCTTGTGATCTTATTACCCCTTAGACTTGTCGATATTGTATTCCCCTCTCAATAAACCTCAGTGGACAGATTTTTGTAAAAAAGCACCATCATATTTGTCCGGGCCGTATTTAAATCTTGATGTGACCCAGGATGCCTTAAGGATGTGCCACTCCTTAAGGCAAAGCAAGTGATGCAAAATTTATTAACTAATGTTCTGATGTAGTTTTACAGTCCAGTAGAGATGTCGTGCTCTGCAGTGGATTGTGTGAATGTGGAACTGGCTCTTTCCAACTTTTCACGATACAGACTTGGACATTTTTTGCAGAGGTGAGGTGCAACTTGCTTTCGGAAAAAGATATAAAGATATGCCCTAAATTTTTCTCCAACAAATACATAGATCACAGGATTAATGCAACAGTGGATCATTGAGATTGTTTCTGTAACTTGGATTGCTTTCTCCAGCTGACTTTGAAGTTCACAAGTTGGGATGAAAAGTGAATTTTGAAATGCATGCAAAAAAGAAGAAATATGGAATGGTGTCCAGAAGATGAAGTAAAAAATCATGATTACAAAAATAAGTCTGACTGCCTTCTGTTTTTTCTCATTCTTGGATCTCAACAATGTTTTTAGAATTTGTGAGTAACTGAAAATCATAATGAGCATTGGAACAATAAGTCCCAGGATGTTCATCTTTAGAATAAAAGAGTACTTCCAATTTATTATGGAATCACTTGGATAATGAGCACTGCATGTATAGCCTATACTTTCCTTTTGAGTTTTCTGAAATAGTACCCCAGGGACAGAAGCCAAAACAGCAACAGCCCAAGTGATGACACTGGTGAGGATGCCATAGGTAACTGTCCTGGCCCTCAAAGCAAACACCGCGTGCACTATGGCCAGGTACCTGTCCAGGGTCAGCAGGATTATGAAGAAGATGCCACTGTAGAAGCCAAGGAGGTAGACACCTGACAGAATTCGACAGAGCGCCTCCCCAAAAATCCAGTCGTGAACTGCGTAATAAGCCCAAAAGGGGAGAGAAAACACGAACAGCAGATCAGAAATTGCCAAGTTGAGCAGGTAGATGTCAGTCATACTCTTCAGCCTCTTGTATTTGACTAGGATAAGGACAACAAGCAGGTTACCTGTCAGGCCAAATATCACCACTAAAGAATAAAGAGGTGGCAAAAATTTTGCTGCAAAGTGCTTTTCATCAGTTCCCATGCATGGTGCCGAATCGCCATAGTCTATTTCTGTTGTCACTGACGTGTCGGTGTAGTCTGTGGTTTCATTGCCCATGGTGTATTGGTCTGGAAAGGAATAAAAGACCATTAAACTAGAAGAATCTCCAAGTTTAGCAGTGAAGAGAATGAAACATGCTGAGGTTCTCATCTGAAATGAGTTTTGCTGATGAGCACACAAGCATTATGATGTCAAGGTGTGAAAGAGAATGAAATTGCAGAGCTCCCAGGAAACCCATCTGTACATCTGGGGAGTCACACTGGTGCATGTTGGAAGTGTGTCATTTCCCACCTGTACACTGTCATGTGCATTTTTCCTCCTCAGTAGAGCCTGTCAGTTGCCTGACCCAGAGGGAGAGGATGGATGGATTTATGAGTTGTGGGTAGTTTGGGGCTCTTGTGCTCATCAGTGGCTTTCCAGTGGAGTGTAGAAAGCCAGGAAGGCAAGGAGAGCACTGTGCCTGGCCTGCAGAGCATAGTCTTGCTTCTCATTGGGATCTGGCTACCTGCTCATCATGCTGGTCCATCCTGTAGCCCTTACCCATGGAGGACCAGGCATTGCTCAGGTGTAAATGGTGCCTGCAAAGGCACTGTGAAATGGGTGAAAAACAGCTGACTTCAAGCACTTCCTCAGGTTGCTTCAAGTGACATTTTGGGAGCCTTAATGCCTGTGGGAAGTAGGACAGTATTAAACATACCTACCTGTGCTATTGTGGGTGTTGAAGAGTGGAAAGTTGGCAGTGTTGATCTGGGTTAAAATGGCAAACACTGGGTCTTTTACAGAGCCTAGGACAGGTGTAGGCAGTAGAAGTGTGCTGGTTTCAGGTACCTCTGGAATGAAATTGGTTCATGGTCCTGTGGAGAGAACAGACAAAGACCTTAGCAAACGATGCAAAAGAGTTTCCATTGGAATGGCCTCTAATACCTGTTTCTGTTGTGGCATCTTCCTGTTTGCTGAAAGGCCTCTCCACTGCTGTTTGGGGATGTAAGGAGTTTTGATTCCTTGTTTCAGTAGTTGTTTACAGCCTTATTCAGGAGCTGCAAAGTTCAGCTTGGTAGAGTGTCTTGGAGGGGGCACAAAGGCAAAAGGCAGCGATATGGCCGTGGCTAACAGTGTGCACTACAGCTCTTCATGTGATGTTGTTCTTCACCCTTTGTCAGTCAGTGTTTACAGTAAGGCAACAATGAGGAAGTGCAAGGGTTGTGCAAACCCTCTGTCCCTTCTGTTTTGGTTTTGAGATGGTTAGAGGGACTGGACTTCCCCTGCAAGAACAGGTCTGGGTGTTAGCCCCTCCAGCTGCCAAAGACTCCTCTTTTCCCAAGTCCTTGGAAGGACTGTGACCCAGATGCAGAAGCATAGATTTGTTTAACTTGATCTCTGAAAAGCTCAGGACTACGGTCTTCTCACAGACCCCAGAGAACACAGAAGAATTCCTGTGTGTCCCATGAGAAGCTGGGCAGAGGATTTTGTGAAGTGTCAGAAAAGTGCTCCCTGGTCACTTGGTGAGGAAATGCAATCAATGCCTTTGGTAGCCACTCAGAGAGAGCTACTTGCTGTCTGTTTAAAGGGCTGCTCTGTCTTTCTGTGCATCATGACTGCTTTTATCAGACACTTCATGACAGACAGGTACCTCTAAGATCATTGAGTCCAGCCATTGACTTAACACTGTTAAGTCCACCAGTGAATCATGTCCCTAAGTGTCACATCTACACAGCTTTTAAATATCTCCAGGGATGGTGACTCAATCACTTCTCCAGGCAACCTGTTCCAGAGCTTGATATCCCTTTCAGTGAAGAATTTTTTCCTAATATTTGATCTAAACCTGCCTTGGTGCACTTAGCCTTGTAGAATCTTTGCATCTGTATAAACGAAAGTAACTTTTATTTTCTTCAAAGTTTGGAATTTATTTTGAGTAGTAACACCAGCAGGAAATAATTGTGGGAGCAACAAAACTAAAATAAACTGACTCCCCACAGATTTGTCTCCTTTGCTGTCCAAGCCTTGTGTCCTGTGAAGGGTTGAGCCCAGCCAGCAACTTAGGCCCCATCTGGTCAACCCACTCACTTCCACACAGCAGGATCAGAAGTGCTGAAGAAAAGAAACTTGCAGGTTGAGAAAAAGCTGAAAATAGAATTAAACTGAAAAAAACCTGCAAGAGGTAATAAATACAAAGAGGAATGCTTGCCATGTTCAACAAGCGGGCAGATGCAGTCCTTGAGCAATTCCTACTCTGGAAAAAATTTCCCTCTGCTCCTAGTTTTACTTCTGAGTGTGATGTTGTATGGCACAGAATATCCTTTTGGTCACTTTGGGTCACCTGTCTCAACTGTGCTCACAAACCTAAAAGACATCACCATAAGGGCTGCTGGGAAGAAATGTAAGTCCATCCCAGTCAGACCAAGCTCACCTTCCCATCACTACATTTTAGCTCTTGCCCTGTACAATTGACACTGACCCTGGCTAGAAAGACAGACTGTGCCGTGGTTGTTTTATTCACTGGCTCTGACCTGGTAGGAAATCTCACAGTATTTGTATGGTCCTCCTTTTTAAAACAAGCAAAAAATATTACAAATATTTTCTGAGATGCTTTTTAAAAAGCATCAGCATTTTTGCACACAAGCAGTGTTAATCACAAAGAACTCTAGAAAACTGATTTGGATAAAAAACTCTATTACTGGTTGCACTTGATTTTAATTTTTTTCATTTATCTCTAATCATATTTCCCATTTTCATTTTTGTGCAGAAAGAAGCATCTTCTGCAGAAGTTGTAGCCCTTGACATGATGTCTGGTTTTGGCTCTTAGATTATCTAGATGTCTTCAGAAATAAGTGTGTTACAGCAAAGAGATCTCCAGGTTTATCTCTGCTCTTCTGCTGTTCAAACATAATTGGAGCAATTCTGATTTGAGAACTTGTATTTACTTATTTTATTTCCTTTTTTTTTCTGTCCAAAACTACACATGAATATTCAGAAAGCCCTAATTATTTGAATTTTCTGTACTGCATGTGGCCATCAGTGCCCCCTGTTCTGACCACAATCGCACTGTTTCTGCATGAAGAGAGTAATTTTGTTTGCTAACAGAAATTCTGAATGATTTTTTCAAAAGTAGGCAACATGCCAAGGTTAGGGTAGACATATAAGAGGAGAACTTACTAATTTATCATGTGTTTAACCATGTAAGAGTATCTAAACACATTAACAGTCCAATAAGAGGCTACAGCTGTTTCCCCTTGGAGGACTGGTTGTGTTCTGAGTTGCCAAAGAAGCTGGATACAGAGAGGTTTAGCCAAGCATTGGGCCAAATGCCAGGACCTTGGAAAAAAAATTCATGCAAAGAACATTGAGTTACATCTTAGATGGGATAAAATTTGGTTCACTGAATACTTGTAAATTTGTGAGCCCAAATAAATGTAATTTCACTTCTCTAAGTTTTAACAAAGCTGCACTTATGGCAATATCAGAGATTCTTGTAATGAAGGTGTGGCCCTGAAGTCTTTCCAGATTTCTGTATTTTGGCTGCTTTGGGAGGAGCCTCATTAGGTCTTGAGCATTAGCTGCTATCTACAGTGTCACTTTAGCTGGAAGATGTCTAGGTGCTGGCAGGACTATCAGACATGATGTTGTCATGTCATTCAAGCAAAGCAGCTCCTGAGTTGCTGCAGTGACTTATTCAGGGATGACATTTGTCACAGCCCAATGAGTCTGCTGTGGTCTAGAGGGGATTTGGACAAAGCTTCCCCTCAGAAACCAGAACTACAAGTTACAAGAGCATCTGTGCATGAATGGAGCTCCTTATCTCAAAACCAAATTACCTTCCCAAAATTCCCTTCATCTTTTTTCAATTTAAGAAAAGATTTCTCTTTAGAAATGTATGAGCAGGTAACACAGTGCTGCTGCCCTCACCCTCACTCTCCTTCTTTCACAAATGCCAGCATTTGGCACACAGAAAAAGAAATTGCTTAATGACTTGTTGTCAGCTTGAAAGTATGTGTCAGCAGCATCTAGGGCATTTTTGAAGAGAGAGAAGTGCAACATTACACTGAGTAATACTGAAACTTAAATAACAAAAAATAATACCACATATTCTGGTAGCAGGCTCTGCAAGAGTGTACCCAGTGTTTCCTGCCCTACCTCTTTAACTTTGCCTTTGACTTTCTAGGAGGAGCAAAAGTGCAGAGAAATCTATGCACAAGCACCTGCACTTGCTTGGAGAGCAAGCATAAAAGTAAGAACTTTTCCTGAGTTACCAGGAAAGATGAATGAAAAGATGGAAATGTAAACTAAATACTCTGCGTAAGACTCTAAACTGATAGTTTCCCTCAAAAACAACTTTTCATGTGGTAGTGACCACAGGATTTCTTTCTAGGATTTGACTGGGTAAAGAGCCCCTTCCAAAATTAAACTTTGCCTGGGAAACCTCTTCCTCTTTTCTAACAGCTGAGCATTAGAAGCATTCAGAATTACTTGCCTCCTAACTGATGGGTTTTTTCTGCCCTGCAAAACTTTGAAAGTAAAATATATTCTGGGCCGAAAAGAGCAGGCTTAATTCTCTGTGAGCCCTCAGGATCTGATTGTTTACATTCCCCAACAAAACCAGAAAGACAGTCTGGCAAAAATTCTGAGCTTTTCTGCAGTTAAATAGAGTCAGTCTCAGGCCTCAAGACAAAAGAAGGAGGATGTGTTCTTACCTAAACAAATGTGCAGTAAAAAAATATCATAAGCACTGAAAATTAGCATTCTGAGAAAGAGAAATTTGAGACATAGATTAAGTATCTTCCTCCAAATCATGAGTAAATGAGTATATAGGCTCTTCTCTTGGGTAAGCTAACTTCTGTGCTAGTATGTCTGTTAGGGGTTTTTTTGCTCTGATGTGGTTTGGGGGTTTTTCAGTATCTGATAAAACATTGAATTTGGAGTAGTTCAGCAGCAGTTGTAGTCACAACCATTCTGAGGATGAACTCAAGTAGAAAATGGAAAGCTAATAGCTTGGAGTGGAGGTTGCCAGCATATGCCATAGGATCATGTGATGTCTCGTTATTGCTCCAAGGGTCTCTACACTGAGAGATTCAAGCCCTCTGCTCTGTTGCTGTCAGCTGTTCCAGGCAAATCACAGTGCAATTCTCCCAGGAATGTAAAAAAAATTAAAAAGAATTTGTAGGCTGTTGTAGTATTTTTTGCTAATATACAAGCACAGGAGCTAACCTTTTCTTGTGTGTGAGTAGAAAAATTCCAGGGTAGTACTGATGATTTTTATTAATGTAAAACCTCATTAACAAAAATTGCCATCTGGGTATAAAACTGATATCTCGTTGAGATGTAGCTGAGGTATGGAGTAAAAACTTTCTACTGTGGTGACTCAGAGACATCACATTAAAAAGAGGACCCAGTCATAATATCCCTTTAAAAAATTATAATGAAATAACACTTTTAACAGACTAAATATTTGAATAATACAGAGAAACTATGTGATAGGATAGGATAGGGATGGAGAACACCTGCCAATTGCATCTGACAGAGCAAGATGTGATTTAGATATGGAGCATTTAAGTTAAACATGAAGGATTTCATCTCTGACCAATTTTTATCCTTAGCAGAATGCAACTTCAAGCTATCAGTCTCCTGGAACTGCTTCAAAACCAAGATCCAATTAGTTTCTGGTACAAAAACAGATTATCATTTTCTACACCAATTGTCCAGTTGAATTCTCTGCTTTTACATTTAGCTTTATCCCAAGCTCTAAGCTAGTTACAAGACCCAATTTTTCCTAAATATATTATCTCTGCTTCAATGTCAGCTCTACTGCCATTGTCATTGGGCACAGTGACTCCCCACCCAGAT